TAGAACTGCTACTTTCAGTGATGCACTGCAGACAGATCGTTAAACTATTCTGACTTCTATGATCATAATGACAATATTCTCTACTATGAATTGTGCATCGGTAACAAATTGTCAGCATTAGTTGTGTAATATTACGATAAACTTCAGTAGCCTGGACCTGTCGATTCATCTTTAATGATGAAAATTTTCAATCAGTTCAGATGCTGCAACCACTTTTTCTCATCAGATTTTCAATACATGAATTCCAATATACTTGTCTTTGTTCCTTTTTACCTATCAAAAGAATAATAATAATAAAGAGAACATTATATGAACAACTGGAGTAGCTTGATGCAACATTTCCAGTATTGAAGTAACGTGATAAATTGTGTAAGCTATTCACACAACACCGCATTAGTACATACAGTTAGCACTTATATTCATATTGAATTCAATAACAAATTTAAAATACGAGGGTTTACTTTAATACGTGCACAGTTCATCCATTCATTAATCAATCAATCAATCAAATATTCATGTTCTATTCACGATTGCCTTTGATTTCAGTAGTAAATCAGTAGTATCACTGATAGTTCTGATACAATGAAAGTGTTACTCAAAGACAATTATATAAAAAAGTGTATACTTGATAAAGAACTATCTACATGAGTTTCAAGTTACTTTTTTTCTTATCAATATGTGTGTTTAGATCTGTTATTAATGTTTACTTATTCAATCTAATTACTGATCAACTTACAAATCACTAACATTATGGTGTGTTCTGATGTCGACAGATATAAGTAGTATGTATCATCAATCGAAAGTAAAAATGCCTGGTGGTAGGAAGTTAAGGAGATCGAAGAGAACGAAAACAGTGAATGATTATTGTAGAAACGAAGGAACAATCAAGTCTGAAACGACTAATTAACACTTTGCAAATGAAGTATTTACTGTATGGTTCTCAGATTTTACTAAGAGATTCTGTAATGTTTTACTCAAATAAATTTAGTTATCCTCACTGGTGTTCTCGTTCAGTACGCATTTATTACATGATAAAAAGATGCATCATATAGACAAAACTTTATCAACTTTTCCAGATAATTATGAAATGGTTACACTAGTCGGTGTCAAAATAGTCCTTTCTATACATAATTACGACAAGATACACCATTTAGTTTATAGACCGATCAGTATAATAATTATGATTAGTTATTAGTTCAATGGCTATACTGCATGAATACTTTATATATATTTATATTGAAAATTGAATGGAAACAACTGTGTCCCTCTGGTTTGTTTTAATTACCTGATGAAAGATGCGGAACTTGATCATTTCACGATTCAAACACGTGATGGCTTGAATACGTTTTGCATCACTGAAGAGTTTTTGAAGTACAACAAAACAACAGATCATCACTATTTTCATTTTCACTCTATAAAATAATCCAAAGGGATTAAGGTTGTAATGAATGTGTTTAGGTGATGTTACTTTCGATAATTTTGTTCATTTGATTATCACAAACGTCTGTATGACTCTGATCAAGTTGTTCTGAACAACAAAGAACGATTTGTAATTAAACCAATCAACTAAGTGAACGCTTAAAAACTATCAAAACTATTCAGTCTGAGATAATATGACATACAACTACACAGATTTACAAATGAATAATTAACGTTGATGAACTAAATCCTAATCAAGAGACAATATGATCTAGACAAAAGAATCAATTGAGTTATTAAAAAGTACATTGAATAGACAAATAATTAACGTGATCGAGTTGTAGTCAAATATAAATATAACGTTAATTCATCTTTAAATTGGTTGTTTTAGTCTTCTCATTGATGTATAGGATTTGAATTGATCAGTCTCTTAGTAGTATATGACCATCTCCAATATTACCTTAAGCTACAAGCATTATAAGCAAAAATGGATAGTAGTTAACAGTGGAATCCAGAACGTGCGTTACGTTTTATTTAGAACTCATCACATGGGTATACTTGTATTCTATGAATTAAACGTCAGCCCATTGCACAAATGAGCGGCTATCCTAACTCAGTAGCTAAATGGATGACCCGATGGTGCTCCAAGCAGACGGTAGTAAGCTCGAGTACCAGAGTGAACATCAACTCTGGAATGCAGATATATCCAGCTGACAAAGCCCAGACAGAATGAAACGCGTGTATTGGATCTCACTGCTAGCCACAATCACCTCTGCTTATAAGCATAACTTCGTCTCTAAATACGTCATAGTCTGATCGATTTATTTATTAGTTTACACCCTAATCAAGGAGGCAGCAAGTATAGATGCATCACACAGATCATTGGATTTGTATGAGGGCTGGAATACTGATCAGGCATCCAAACCGAAACAGGTGGATTTGTTCATGTGCCACTCTTCAAGCCTCTGACCTACTGTTGTAATCTATTTCTTACGGTTATGACCCGCCTATTCCTATTGCTTGGTATTCTCGGACACCGATTCACTCGACAAGACCCCGAATCAGAACACCGTTGAACAGGAAAGAGACTATATTCCAAATAACAAGGTTGTATGGAAGTAAGAAGTATAATAGGAAAAACGTTAGTATATTTATAGTTTTTACATGAGATAATTCTAGACTGTGTTCTCCAAGTATCGACTAGCGCTGATTGGACAAGAATTAACCAATCAGCGTGCACCAAAGCAATCGTGCATTGAACATGCGTTAATACAGTCTATGTCCCGCTAACACCTACAGGTGTAATCCACAAGACAGTGGATCAACGTAAGGAGATGCAGTCACATGGTAGACAGTGGCCAACAAGAGGTTCATACAGCCATTGTTCTCTCAAGATCCTGGAGGCTATGTGCACTATCGATTTGGAATCAGCGATTCCCAACTAACTCTGCGTCCACCAACCCGTTTAAAGCGCTGGATATTCTCTTTTCGTCTTCTCCATTTCGTAAACAACACTTCTGCAGCGAGAGGCCAGTGAGTACGACTGCATTCGTGTGGAAATGTGAGACATTTTGAGTAGAAGAGCTGACTCCCCTATGACCGTACCAGGGACTTTAGGTTCACGAACACATAGTTGAAAATATTCAGAGGGTTCTTTACATTCTGTCAATAAATAATACGACCTAAACGGAAATAAAACACCCTTTAGATCACTAATTGGGCTGTTCACCACTGAATGCTATTCTGGTAGTTTTCATTGGCACACACTCACTGAGAATTCTGAAGATCCTGTGTTTAATCTCTGTTGGTAAGTTTGGGGATACATACTGATGAGGAGTCCCATGGTAGAACGAAATAGCTATTCACTTATACCACTTGGTTTTCTATGGTTGTTTAACTAATAGTCAGTCTGTAACATAATCTATATTGTAATTGACTGGAAAAAATACTCATCAGTTCTAGTTTGCAAATCTGATAATAATAAGACGGTAGTTGATTTATATAGATCATAGAGTACTATCGAAAAATATTGAACACCGAACCACTGTTACAGCAGTAGTGCTTCGACTAAGATCAATCTATGATGAATGCTACCTATAAATCAAATTGATTCGTATAAAACTACTTTGACTTGGCAATAATAATCAGCTCACTACTAATGACTTATTTTAAGATGTTCCTGAAGTTCTAGTAAAACGCCGTGACTGATGAAGTTCAAACATGTTGACAGTGAAAAATTGTCATTCATTGGATTGATTAATTGTAGAATTGTGGTGTACTATGCTACTTAAGTCATATGTAATACTAGTTGGAAGTAGAAACCTTGGCAGTGGATGGCTAAGAAACTCTAGAATAGAAGTGGAAATAGAAAAGAAATTGTAAACTGGAGGGATCATACACAGTGTGAAAGACAAATAAAATTTTCAATGTATAGTTCTTATATTTTACCAAGAAATTCAGTGGGTTTCTTCAATTAAAATACACTGGTTATCTCCACCTGTGTTCTTATTCATCACAGAATTATATCGAGAACTGGTTGAAGTTGAAATTATAGCACTGGGTGCTGAAATCGTTTGCAATGGCGCGGGTGCATCCACTCTCTGTGTTCTCCCAAATTCTAATCTTCTGAATTCTTCATGTCCCTTTTTTCCTCTTTCCAAATTTATTTCACTGGATTATACTCTTTAAATAACATCTCCAAACCCTAATCTTCCCGATTACTGCTTATACTCTTGCTACCTCTACCACTACGGGATTTGAATCGACAAGTGCATCTCTGTGCTAATGTGGTGTGGCAACTCGAACTGATGTACGTACGTACGAAGTTCTACGTTGTTACTGACTGACTGACTGGCTGAAACTAGTAGTTTTAACGGATAAGTATTCATCGACATAAAGATGTACATACTTGAGAATCCCAACAATAGAATGAAACAACTAGTCGAAACTCCCTAATTTTTCAATGACATATTTAATTAACACCTATCTGTGATGCATGCAATTTCCACGTTGAACGAATTCCTACGTAACCTCTTTTCAATTGCAAAGATTGTTTCTCAAGAATTAGATCCAAATCAATCAAAAGGTGGATTATCTCCATTTTGAATACTAACCAGCATATCAGTATCATTGAATTAAACACGATGAAACATCAATCCCGAATGACCAACTATCAAAAATACACCAAAAATATTCTGTAAATACGACTGAAATAGAAATAAATTTCGAATGGTGTTTTCTTTCTCTTTTTCGTTATCTCAAATATTCACGGAGTCCATTCAACAATCATGAAGAGTCTAATCAAAATTTTTGCTGAGAAAATCTTCTTTTTATTTTTATTTTGTTGATATTTTTTTCATTCGGGATTCAATCCTTCTGTATTTTATTTTCTATTAGGGATCAGATGAACAAGTTGACAATGTGATCATTTCAGTCATTTCTTATCATATTTTAACAAATCAATATTGTAATACTATTCAGTTCAATATATGTCTATGATAAAGATATTGACTTACATGTGAAACAAGCTTCTGGCAATCGATTCGGTATCCATTTACGTTCGTGATTATCACAAATCAGTGTTATATGAGCTTTCCATGTTGTAACCACCATGAATTAGGAATATTGTTATTATTAAGTGATGATCTATTACCTGTTGACGAAAACGACGAGGATGATTGTGATGGATTGATTTCATCTAGGGCTGGATCCATTGGTTCTAATCAACGATCAGATAGAAAGAATACTTCAGCATAAGCGAAGATATGAGAGGTTTGCTGATTTACACGGAACCGATAGTCAACCACTCCATTACCACTTGGTGGATAGATTGCAACACATGACAGAGCTATAAAAGGAGTTGATAAAAAAGAAATAATTATACATGTTAGAGTGATATTTAAAATTTCAAAATGTTTCTTAACTAGTTCCTAGACAAAGTGAGATACTGTTATAATTCCTTTTATTGACGAACCAGCTACTCCGATTGCCTAATATTCTTGAACACTATTGTACTCGCCAAGCCCCCAAATTAGAACATGGTTGAATAAGTACGTAATTATATTCCAAAAAATAGTGTTGCATAGAAGAAGGGTATCATAACATAAAACGTTCGTATATTTATAATATCTATATGAGAAGATTCTAGTCTTCTCCAAGTCTCCGAAAGCGTTCGTTGTCTAGGAAATGGCCATTCAGCGTACTTCAACACAATCCTACACGGAACATGATTTAATCCAATCTATATCCCTCACTTCAAACGCCCAACACATTAACTCTGATGAGCTACAAAGGTCAAAAAGCCGCTTACATGTACAATGGTTAAAAATTTTATTGAAAAGGGTTAATATCTTCCCATTGTTAAAACGAGTATCCTGAATTCCGCTTATAAATACCACCAAACTCAAAGAAAATAATTGTGGATAAATAAAAATATGAAGTGCCGAGCCAACACACTAACAACTACTCAGAAAAATAGCAGTTTGATCGGCTTTAAACATTTGTCTCTTAGGGTCAGCGGTCACTCTTCCAGGTCGGCAAAATCACTACCTATCCAATATTCTTTTCGGATACCTCAACAAAAAACTATCTTTCCTCAATGTAGGTAACTGGGAAATATCAACTGTTCACATAACTCTAGCAGCATTCAAAAACACCTTGTCTGTATTAAAAGAACTTCATCTCTTTTTATTATTTTTCCTCTATCTCTACTATCAAATTGTGCCTAATGGCTTCCTCTTACATAGTTCTAGTCATGTGCAACGTAGAATCTGATACATAGGTATGTCAGCTCAAGTTGTCATGTCTTATTAGCAAAGAGAGATAAAACTATCGAGACAAATTCCAGATTACTAACAGTAGTAATAACATTTGTGGTAGTAGGAAAGATTAGGTACATGCAAAGAAATAAGGTATAAAGAGATGTTGTGACACAGGTTAGGTCCTAAAGCAAGACAAGGAGTGAATGTATATGAACCATTGTGAGTGGTCCTGATTTATGTCATCAAAAGTTGCTAATCATCGTTTAGGATAGTCACGCTGACTCCAACGCGGTAATCTCAAGCTACTTAAATGACTCAGTCTACTTGTTACTGACTTCATGGAATAGTGCCACATCTTGGTTTAGCCACCCTTAGCTTACTCTAATCTGCTCTTGAACTAGACAATATTTCCCGTCAAGATAGTTGGTGATCGGGTATATGTAACAAACATCCCAATCACCTTAGTTGATAAAGATTCATTACATACATACTACTAGTAATTCTGAGAATACAAATAAATTCTATAATATATTGAAATTTCGATTCATTCATACATTATTTTATGACAATAGAAAGAGACTATTGAAAATCAACTTCATTTCTCTCAATTGATGTATTCAGTTAGAAAGGTAGGCCTGCTCCTCGCGAGTCAATATTTCTCCAGTTTTGAACAACCTACGAAGTATGACGGAAGCCAATAGCTTGGACGCAATCGGAGGTAAAATTATCCCCCGATACTTGTTACAGGAACGACGTGAACACGTTTTAAAGATAGGGACAACTATCGACTCATTCCATGACGTTGGTACACTCTCTAGTTCACAAACCTTTGTAAACAACGTCGTCAGGTCCTTAGTCAGAAAGTCACAACCATCGTCCAAGACGTCGATGGATGTTAGTGATTGGCATTCCATCAACCTCGTAGATTGTTTCGCTCACACCAGACTTCTTGCTGCCAGTGGCTCGGATGAGTTGGAAGAGCTTCCGGTAGTTACCAGATGCAGCTGCTGCTTCCAGCTCATTAGCACGCATCGACCACCAGGCTTCTCGGTCCTTACGCAAGCTTTGCCCGATTTCCTTACGTAACATCCTTCGTTTGTGGTCAAACTCACGGTCACACGGAGTAGACCGACGGGCTTCAATGAGTTGTAAGGAACCAGAAGAAACCCAGTGCTTATAAGCGGGACGTTTCGCAAACCCACAACTGACTGTTCCCGCCATTTTCATGGCGTCATGCAATTGCAACCAATGCTCATCTATACTTTTCGGTGGAGTGGTAGCTAGCCTAGAGGCTAGCTCGGTTCGATACTTACTTGCAACAGAAGTTGCAACCAGCTTCCTAATATCAATCCGTTGATGGCGGTCACTTCGTTGCCCACTGAAAAGTAAGGTAAGATTAGCGCAGACCAAAGCATGGTCAGAGTCCAGATAGGTACTCCAGAAGGAGCGGCAGTCTTTTACACAACCACGCCAGCGGTAGCTGATCGCGATGTGATCAATCTGAGTACAGGCTTGAGATGCAGAGGGAGGACGCCAGGTGGCACATCAGCGATGACTGTGCCGAAAGTTAGTGCTAGTCAGAAACAGGTTGTGGTCTGTGCACAGTTGCAGTAGACGGTCCCCGTTATCTGCCCTGCGACTAACAAGTCCCCATCGGCCACCCAAACGACTCTCTTCTGTGCCTAGACGCCCGACCTGAGCATTCAAGTCTCCGGCTAGTACTACAATATCTGTCGAACGCACTTTCTGGAGAAGAACAGATAACTGGTGGTAAAACTCATCCTTGATTGCATCCGGGCTGCAATCTGTCAGGGCATATGCGGAGATGACAAAAAGTCATCGTTTCTCACGCTGATTTCTTGTCACTTTGATGGAACTCTCTATTCTAACAGCACATAACCGACTGTTAATGGGGATCCAATTGACTAGTGCTGCCTCAGCTCTAGCGCTTAGTGCGACACCAACGCCAGCGAGACCAGACGAAGATGCCACAGGGTCCCCTGATAAGTGCACGTAAAACAAGCTTTTTGAAGTGACAGATGGAGAGCGATTCATTCATACATCATTTTATGATAATAGAAAGAGACTATAGAAAATCAATTTCATTCCTCTCAATTGATGTATTCAGTTAGAAAGGTAAGTTAAGGTGAGTGAAGTGAATCGAGGTGAAGTAGCATGCAATAATCACTATCGTAACAAACAAATAACTGAATAAATAAATAAAAAAATAAACCAGTGAATTAACCAATCAACAATAAACCAACGATTTCGTTGAGTATTTTTGAAGTTTCAATGTGATGTGTTTTTATTCTTCGAACAACTTCGCCCCCTGAATGCCCTGGTACGGCCGAGAGTGGGGAGAGTCCGCTCTCCCTCTCGAAATACTCTCACACGGCCACGCGTATATTGCCTCTGCCAGGGAAGTCCTAATCATTGCCTTTTCGTGGCGGGGGTGCTGTTTACGAAAATGGGAGGACGAAAAGCGAATGTCCGGCGCTTTAACCGGATCCTAAACCAATGGTGCACATGGGCTCCAGTATCCTGAGGCAACGAATGGCGTATGAACCAATCGTTGGTCACCGGCTACCATGGGACTGTATCTCCTTACGATACTCCACTGCCTTGTGGGTGAGACCTTTAGGTCAAAGGCTCGGGGAGTGGCCCTCTAAGATAACCACCTGCTTCGGTTTGGGCACCCGGACAGTATCACAGTCCACACACAAATGATGAACGCTTTATGTCTATGGAAATTACTTTTGTCGCTTTGAAAAACAAACAATTGATTCAGATTATTATCATTACCATTATTGTCATTATTAATACTAATATTATTATTACTACTATTATTGTCATTATTGTTATTATTATCATTATTATTATTATTTTCCACATTATTCACCCTCTTTTATACTTATACAGCGGCTCGTCTTTGGTGGAATTCCGACTGTATCTAAACGTTCTCGAGTCACTGTCCGGTTGAAAATTGTATGTTACCACCGAATACGAGGACTGAAGCAGATTTTCTGAAACCACGTGCACCATTCAAACTGGCTGCCTTCAACGTTCGCACATTTATGCAGGTCGGACAACAGATAGGGCTGGCTATGTCTTTGGAAAGTCTTGATATCGATGTCTGCTGTCTATCCGAGACCCGTATTCAAGACTCTGGCGAAGTACTACAAATTCGATCTCCATCTGTCGCTTCGAAAAGCTTGTTTTACGTGCGCTTATCCGGGTACCCTGTGGCATCTTCGTCTGGTCTCGCTGGCGTTGGTGTCGCACTAAGCGCTAGAGCTGAGGCAGCACTAGTCGATTGGATCCCAATTAACAGTCGGTTATGTGCTGTTAGATTAGAAAGTTCCATCAAAGTGAGAAGAAATCGGCGTGAGAAACGATGTCTTTTCGTCATCTCCGCCTATGCCCCAATGCAGCCCGGATGCAATCAAGGATGAGTTTTACCACCAGTTATCTGTTCTTCTCCAGAAAGTGCGTTCGACAGATATTGTAGTACTAGCCGGAGACTTGAATGCTCAGGTCGGGCGTCTAGGCACAGAAGAGAGTCGTTTAGGTGGCCGATGGGGACTTGTTAGTCGCAGGTCAGATAACGGGGACCGTCTACTGCAACTGTGCACAGACCACAACCTGTTTCTGGCTAGCACTAACTTTCGGCACAGTCATCGCCGATGTGCCACCTGGCGTCCTCCCTCTGCATCTGAAGCCTGGATTCAGATTGATCACATCGCGATCAGCTACCGCTGGCGTGGTTGTGTACAAGACTGCCGCTCCTTCTGGAGTACCTATCTGGACTCTGACCATGCTTTGGTCTGCGCTAATCTTACCTTACTTTTCAGTGGGCAACGAAGTGACCGCCATCAACGGATTGATATTAGGAAGCTGGTTGCAACTTCTGTTGCAAGTAAGTATCGAACCGAGCTAGCCTCTAGGCTAGCTACCACTC